AGAGAGAGAGAGAGAGAGAGAGAGAGAGAGAGAGAGAGAGAGCGCACGCCAGGGATAGGAGACAGAAAGGAAGGTGTAAAGAGGATTACACATAAGCATGAGTGGCCAGGGAAACAGGAAATGCAGTGAAGTAAGACCTGAGACACAAACAGATCGGCTATGAGAGGAACAGGGTGAGAGGACACCTGTGGGCCTTGAGACTCCTTCTGGTCCAAGCCAACGTAGAAAACCGGCATCTGTCCATCATTTCTCTCAGGCAGGACACATGATGGTCAGGACTCCGAGACTGGAGTCCCCACCCTGCCAGAGCCTATGCCCACACTCCCGTGTGCACACACTCACCCGGTGTGTGTTGTTGATGACAATGGGGTCAGGGTTCCCATAGTTGGGCGGATTTGCATATGGGTCATAGCCAAGCCGTGCCAGCATGGGGGCAATCTGAGCCATATCCCTCACCACGTCTCTAGGGATGTGGCCAGTCCACTTGGAGAGAGCTTCCAAGTTCACAGGTTTGATGACCTGGTCCGTGGACCGCTCGATCCTGTGGAGGAAAGAGAGTCTTGTCAGGGTAGGGGATGCTCCCTGCTCAGAGGCTTTGGGGCAGCGGGACGGTTGGGCATCCCTGGCCCCTGGGCAGCCTGTCCCCATCAGCTGTGAGGGCACAGCCAGGGTGTTATGCCTCATGGAAGCCGCACGTGTGGAGAAGCAGAGCTGTAGTCGGGAGCCATGTGCTCTGGTGATACAGTCTGGCTTCTGTCACTTGTATATACACGTGTGCGCATGCCTGTGTGCATGTGTGTGCACATGTACCCCTGTATGTGTGCATGTGTGTATGTGTATGTGTGTGCGTGTATACTGGTGTATGTGTGCATGTATGTGTGCACATGTATGTGCATGTGTGCACATATGTGTATATGCATGTGTGCACATGCCTGTGTGTGCACATGTCTAGTCATGAGTAGGCCTCCAGGTGTGGGTGTCATCCATCACTTCTCTATTTGCTCTTTGGCAGTCTCTCTCCCTAACTTCACTGTGTCCTGGGACCCTCCAGGATCTGCCTTCTGCCCCATTTGACTCACAGTACAGGCCCTGGCAACCATTTTACCAGGGTGTCTGAGATGCAGCCGTCATGCTTGCACAGTGAGCGGCGAGCACATTACAGCCGCTGAGCTATCTCTCTAGCTCCTCCTTTATTCATGATTTATCGATTTGTTTACTTATTTTTATTGTGTGTGTGTGCATACGACGTGTATGGCTTGGGCATGTCCATGGCGCATGTGTGGAGGTCAGAGGTCAACCTTGTGGCGTCGCTTCTCTGCTTTGATGTAGGTTCTGGGGATCGAACTCAGTTTCCGGGCTTGCACGGCAAGCCCCTTTACTTGCTGAGCCATATTGCCAGCCCTGCTTGTGCTTCCTTAAAAATAACTCGTCATGTCTACGATTATCGCGGGCAGCTTAAGTTTGAAAAAATAAAACCTCAAACACTCGTGTTGACGCTAAAGGTTCCCGAGGATACCAGCTTCCTGTGGGTGCCTGGCCTTCTGTCTGCAGCGCCAAGATCCCCACTTACTGTCTGTGCTTTTCCAGGGGAGGAGAGACCCAATTCCCAACTCTTTCCCCGTCACACAGAAGGATGCTGAAGCTCAGAGAGGCACAGACACTTGCCTAAGGTAGCACAGCTCAGGAAGGGCAGACTTGACCTGCCGCCTGGGGCCTGGGAGGAGCTGTGGGGCCCCACTCACTTGGACAAGGAGACGCCCCCAGGCTTGCCAATGAGGTCCTCGTGGTGTAGGACTGTGTCACTCCAGGCGATGCCCAGGAAGTCCAGGATGCGTTTGAGTGAGCGCCGGGGGTGCAGCACCAACTGCTCATAGTACACGGGCAGGCACTTGTCCCTGCCCACCTCCATGCACTGTGCGTACATCACCTCGATGGCCTTGTTCCACTTGGTGAGGCAGTCTCGGTAGCTGCTGAGGTCAAAGCCAGCGATAGTGACCTTGCGCGTGATCATGGAGTGCACGGACGCCCGGCCATCACGCACCATTAGCAGGAATTTGGAGTTGGGGAACAGGCGGGCCAGGTAGACGGACGACTTGAGTGTGAAGGGGTCCTTATTACACAGCACGCGCGCCGGCTCCCCGTGCTTGGCGATCACCTCCAGGATGAAGGCCTGCATGGCCGCGTCCAGCACCTCATCGGTCACACCTGCCTCGTCCAGCCGCAGCTTCTCACGGCCGGACTTGGTCCAGGCCTGCCGCATGGCCAGCACGCGAGGGATGATGCGCGTCTCCTCCCCGCAGCGCACCTCAGGGTGCGCGTCCAACATGGCGCGCATGAGGGTGGTGCCGCTGCGTGGCACTCCGCCCACGAAGATGAGTGGCATGGCCTTGCCGTAGCGGTACTCTATGTGGTCAGCGCCGAGCATCACCAGTTCTTCCTGCTCAGGCCGCATCCTCCGTGAGCTCCGGGCGCCCCCGAGCACCGCCCGGCACTCCAGTACTTGCTGCCCAAGCTGCACAGCGAGCACCAGGGCCAGAGCACAGCCGGCGGCCAGCAGCACCTTACGCACCGACAGGCGCATGCCCAGCCAGGGTCGCAGGCCCAGCCAGGGGGCCCGCCTCATGGACGGGTCAGCAGGCCCACATGGTATGCATCTGTGGAGAGAGGGGCAGTGTCAGCAGGCCCATCGAGACACAAACAGGATGCTGGGACGGCAAGCTCAGTGTCATGTAGGTGAAAGTACCTACTTGGTGTTTTGCCCCTCCCCCCCAGGGGAACACGGTGGTCTCAGAGACTCAACCCCCTCACCACCATGGCTGTGGGGCTTTGGAAAGCTGGAGTTCTGTATCAGCGACTGAGCGGGTTATCTGATAACAGAGGGTAATGATGGTGGTTATTGTTAAAATGTTAGAAACGCCAGCACCTGTCTGTGAACGAGCTACTTAGGAAGTCGAGGCAGGAGGATTCCAAATTCAAGCCTGTGTGTATTTAAAAAAAAAAAAAACCAAAGTAGGGGTGGGTGCAGGGAACCGTGGAGTGAACCTGACCCCTGCTGCCTTGAGAGGAAGGTGTCACAGGTTTTCCAGGTTCGACTCCAAGGCTCCTGGGGCACAAAGTGAGATCAACACACTCCCTCGGGCTGTGCAGCATTCAGGCCATTCTGAGTTTCTCTGACAGGACTATTGTCTCAAACATGAATCTTATGCATCCTGTACAGCTCAAATCATTATACCCTGGGCAACTACAACTGTATTGATCCTGGCAATTTCCATTGTTTCTGATAGGGGTATACAAAGTCTGATAGCTTCAATACAGCTGTCACAGCCTTAGTCTGGCTGTGCCCCCCCCCCAACCCAAGCTGGGTTTAATTTCTCGCCAGCCGTGGTCTCCTATGTAAGTGCGGGAGCTCACAGCTGGGGATGTGGCTCAGAGGGGGGAGTGCCAGCCCAGCATGTGCAAAGCCCTGGGTGTGACCCCCAGGACCACACAAACCAAGCATGGTCGCTAATGGTTGTGACATCTGGCATGTGGGAGGTGAAGGCAAAAGATCACGAGTTTGAGACCAGCCTGAAATACAGGATGTCCTGTCTTGAAAAAAGCAAGCAAGCAAGCAAGCAGGCAGGCAGGCAGGCAGGCAGGCAAGCAACACAGGAACAGCCCACAGGCCCAGTTCCTGCAGCACGGGCGGGGGCTGGGCGGGGGGACTGTGTTCTCAGCTTCCTGCATGGGCTGGCTCATTACTGCTCAGTTATTAACGGTGGAATGAGTGTCTGAACGACCAGGACCTGGCACAGAGGAGGGAACGAGGCTAGGAGAGATGCCCACAGTTACCCAACAAGAAGGCAGCCGAGCCAGGATCCAGACTGGGCTGTCCCCATTCCCTGTGCCCACAGCAGGAGCAGTCTCCTTTAGCACTGCTCCACCTCTCCCCCTCCCCCCGCCCCATGGCAGGGGGCTCTGTCCTCCCCTCCACCTGCACTTGGGACTTGCTCATCAAGCTGGCATGTCCATGCACCAAACCCAGGACTAGACAGACAGGAGACAGGCAGCTGGGACAGCGGGACAGCGGCCTCCACAGCACAGGTCCTCGTGAAGAAGTGGGGGAACTCACAGGGACATGCTTAGTGTGATAATGAGCTGGCTGCTGCTGGGAGGACCCAGAGGGGAGGAAATGTTGTCCCAGCTGGGAGTTAGCACAGCAGGACTGGACCACAGCAGGGTGCTGGGAAGTGGGGAGAGAGCTCCTGGGCTGTAGGGAAGGGAAGGGAAGGAGATGGAGCAAAGGCACAGACCCCAGCAGCTCCAGGACACCTGTTGGAGGCTCAGGACCAGGCGGCTGGCAACTGCTTAGAACAGGAAAGGTAACACACCTCCCCTCCTGAGGCCTTGCTGACCAGAGGGTAGGAACCCAGCAGTGCTTTTTCAAACAGGGGCTTCCTATGAAAAGCAGAGCCAGCTACTCTCAGGCTCTGCCGAGATCACTGGAGGCCAGTACAGACAACAGGGGACGCTGTGTGTTCTCTTACTTGACCCCAGGGTCTCTGAGCCTGAGTTCCCTGCCTTCCCCTTGACTGGAATCGGCTGGGTGGGTCCAGATTTACCCTTGGCTATCACTTCTAACTCTGCCAGCATTGTGGGATCACACTGGGAGGTGACCAGTCTCCTAAGGGGCAGCAAAGGCCTGCTGCAACTGAGCCCCAAGCTGTGGTCTAAACACCGGACAGCACTCACAGGCAGCAGGTGGGGAAGGGTGTTCCTGGAAGAGGGAGCAGTCACCATGAAAACCCTGGGGGAGGACCCTGTGTGACCAGGGGCTGTGAGTGTCTCAGCACCACATGAGGGTCTAGAGAGGTCAGAAGAGACATGACATTGGATTTTACCAGTGGGGCTTGACAGAAACCATCATGGGACGAGGTTCAGAGCCACCACAGGGGCACGGCAAGTGAGAAACCGGCAGCCCTTGAGGAAGCAGTCTCAGGCCTGGAGGCCAAAGTGTCGAGGCCAGGGTGAGGGCTCCTGGTGGGCACCATCTCTGGGCAAGCAAGTTTCTATCTCTGCCACAGACAATCTGGGACAGTCCGCTGGGCTCCATGGAGTCTGCATGGCTGAGAAGTGCCTGTGAAGGCAGGTAACTCTTGCCTAGGGCCAGCAAGCTGAGCATCAGACCACAGTGGGGCCTCTCCCGGGAAAGAAACCGCTCGTCCCTTCTGCTAATGCTGGGACTGCTCGGGCAAAGCCGATTCCGAGGCATGTTTAGGGGACAGAGCAGTCTGCCGAGGCCACAGCTACTCAGATATCGAAGGATGCCTTCGAGTGCTTCATAGAGCTTGCCCCGTGAACCTGAGATCCAAACTCTGCCACTCGCAATGACCGCTGTACCAGGACACCCAGGAAGCTGCAAAGCACACTCTAGCCGGAATTAGAACCTCTGCCCTCAGGGGTGAGAAGATGCTGTGTGTAGAGGGAATGCTTTAACTGTAGGCTGCTTGCGGAATGTGGCTGTACAGTGTGTGCGCGTGAGTGTGCACACATGTATGAGTGTGTGCGTGTGAGTGTGCATCCGTGTGTGCACCCGTGGTTGGTGACTGACATAGTGACCCTAGGAGGAAAAAGGAACGCAGGACAGGAAAGGGTTATCGAGCGGCCAGTTTGTCCCCATTAAGTAAGTCATTCCTGTGTTTCAGAATCTAAAGTCTGGCAAACACCCTGCCTGCACGTTGTGTTTTTATAATTCTAGAATGCTCAGTGCTGCACAGCCAGGGTCGAAGGCATGCTTTTCCAGTAAAAAAAGGCTTCTTTCAGACAGGTGGGATGAGTCAGAGGACAGCTTGAGGAACCACTGCTGTCCCAGCAGTGAAGGCAGCAGGCACAAGTTCCAAAGACCTGGTTTGAATCCTACCTCTGCAGCTGGCTGGCTCAAAATGTAGACGAAAGTGACATTTCCCTCCAGTCACGGGGAGCAGGGACAGTAGTGATCACTTCCAACAACGTGAAGATTGGACACCTGCAGTGTCCTGTGTGCTGGTATTCCCGGTGTGTACCAGGCTCTGTGCAGAAAGTTCGCTTGCCCGCCCGCCCAATGCTGGAGATGGGGTGTGGGGGTGTGGGGGGGTTAGGGAGGTGAAGACATGAAGGCATTAAGGGGCTGTGTCAGGACGGTGGGGTCTCTGGGTAGACTCACCTCCACTGGGCACCCTCATTTCTAAGCACCGGTCCTCGAGCCTGGTCACCACGGCTTCCTGCCCTGACAGTTCTGTGGAGCAATGGAGATGCTGTGTCAGGACAGGCTGAGGCAGAGGGGCTTTCGGGCTCCCCAAGCACCAGAGAGTGGCCTTTAGGGGAGAGATCTTAGCTGCCATGGGGAGTCCCTGCCAGCCTCTCCCCTCTTCTCAGTCCTAGGCATCAGGAAAAAAAGACAATACAACAGCATGCCTGTCACTACCCAGGGAATGCCAGGCATGGTCACGCAGGCAGGGGACTGTGCAGCTCCAAAAGGTACCATGTACCCAGGTATGTCATTCCCTGTAGTCAGATAATGCCTGGCTTGCACCACCCAATACTGAACCAGTGCCTTCATAAGTGCACATGTGTCTTGAAGCCCCACTGAGCAGAGAGAACCATTATAATCAGCTAACCCAAGAACTAACTGAATCCGTCTGCCATCTCGGTCTGTGAGCATCAACAGAACTCAGCTACAAACACCATGTTTCAGGTTCAGGCTGTGTCCCCACGGACCTAACATGCCAAGGAGGCACTCACAGCCTGGGAGGGGCAGGCTTCACAGACACACACGCATCATCTGACATTCTACGTCCCTCCTCAGTCCTGTCTCAGATGCTGGGGTACGGATGGTACAAGCTCTAGAAACCTTTGAGGCCAGTGTCTCAGTTACTCTGTAAACGATCTGCTGGGAGGCTTCAGCCAGCCAGAAGGATCTGGAACACCAGCAGTGACTGCCATTTTCACAACAGGAAGGAGCAGGGAGTGGCCGGCCACCTGTACCTCAGTCCTCCGTCTCCAGAGAATTCACTCACTCCTTATCTCTATCATTTAGTTAGTTAGTTAGTTCGTTAGTTGGAGTCTTTTTTTTTTTTTTTTAAAAATCCAGCCCTGCTAACACAGTAAGACTCAGCTGGAGAAGGGGTCTCACCTTGCTCCTACCCTAAGATGCTCAGGCCCAGGACTCCTGGGCATGGTGGACTCCTTCCCCTGCGAAGAAACCAAGGAATCCAGGGAGAGCATTGGAAGCTTCCAGAACAGCTGGTGGCAACCTGGCTGCCCCCAGAAGGCTCTTGAAATGCTAAGTGTTCCCAGGTCTGCCAAGCCCACAGCTGACACCAATCACTCTCCAAAAAAACACAGGCTCACTGAGAGCATGGAGCAACTGCTGGGCCTTCCACCTCAGAGCAGGCACCCGATGTGTTGCCACAGGAGTTGAGAAGAGGTTTACATTCAGCCAAACTGAATAAAGTGAAAAATTCACTTTGCTTTGCCTTGGTCATATGCCAAAGGCTCAGAAGCCACTAGAGTCAGTGTGTGTGAGAGGTACCATACTGGATAGCCCTGACCTAGACAGAGGCCTCTGTGGCCCCTGGAGTGGAGGGTGCTGTGTGCACATCCTGACCTAGACGGCGGCCTCTATGGACCCTGGATTGCTGTGTTTCCTGACCTAGACAGCGGCCTCTGTGGCCCCTGGAGTGTGGGGTGCTGTGTGCACTCAGCTCTTGCAGGTTCTATGTACAATGGCCCACTTGAGCTTGGAGGGAAAATTGGCTCTGTGTGGACTTGTGTGGACTTGATGTTCATTTTACCTGGACATTAGCATGGAACAGCTAACTTTTCTCACTGCATTCACACTGCGCTGGGGTGCAAATCAATTCGAGGTGATTTGCAGGACACAGAGGCGGGCCAGCAAGAAGGCTCAGCGGGTAAAGGCGCTTGCTGCACAAGCCCGACTTGAGTTCAATTCCCCGGACCCGCAGAGATGCGGAGAGAACTGACCCCACAGAGTGGTCCTCCGAGCTCCACACTCAGACCGCAGCCCTGTTTGCCCTGTCACACACGCAATGATAAAATAACAGAGTGTGGAGGGTGTGCACAGATACTGAGACCTTTCATGTCCATGGAGGAGGAGGAGCATGTGTGTGCCTTGTGCTTAAGAAGGGAGAGAACTCTGCGGGAGTAGCAGCCTCAGAAACTGTCAGTACACTACAAACCCCAAAGCAGCAGCCACAAGAGCAATCACAGACTGTCAGCCTCTATTCTGGAGCCTCCTCCTCAGAGCAGGGGTGGGGACCGCAGCTCTCCTTTCTTTCAGGAGGATCAATAGTCAGCACTAAGCCAGGGGCTATCCGCATCCTCCCATCGGCCCTGTGCTTGCACAGTAGGCTCCGCCTTCTATGGGCCAGCTAGGTCTGTGAGGATGCAGGGCAAGTATAATTGTGCCCAAGGGCAGAGTTACTAATAAGGCGAGCCGACCGGCACCCACAAACAGCAGGAGAAAAAGATTAAGAAGCATTCGGATGCTCCCTGCAGAGTCCTGGCGGTCTGGGGCATTTTCTCCTAAAGCAGCTTCTGACCCCGTAGCTCACACTCTCTCCCTGTGATGAGGCACCGAGTGATTATCAGGTTTTCCACGAGTGTGCCAGGGACAGAAATGGTGCAGACCGTCTGCATCCAGACCCACCCAGCTGTGTGACTTTGGCCTACCATTGCCTGGTCTCCCTGAGCTCCTCTGAGAAATGGGGCTGCCGACAGACGCCTCTGGGCATCATCACAGTCAACTTAAAGAGGCAGTGGGGACTTCTGGAGCCTGGGAAGGGACTGTCAGTGAATCTGTGCAGGGAGATCTACCCAAAGTGCTGCCTGGCAGGTGCCGTGAGGCGGGTTTGACCCATTTAGTGGAGGACGCTGTGACTCTGCAAGTGACATAACTACACAGCTATGGAACCGGAAAGTCAGTTTCCAAACTCCAAACTCAGCTTTGTCCTTCAGTGTTGCTGGGCTCCCCCCACCCCCGGGCATACAGCTCTCAAAATGAACCATTATGGGATGGGGACCTCGCACCACCTCTCAGCTCATCCCCAAGCTGCCCAGGAGCCATGGGAAGGGGAAAGGACAGCAAAGGCAGAGGGATCTGAGGGAAGCGCTTACATCATTGTCTACTGGGCACCTACTGTGCGCCTGCACCACCCACTGCTAGTGCGATTCAGGGAGAGCCCAAGACAAAGGAGGAGTATTAGGTAATCCTCAGCTACACTGTGAGCTCAAGGCCAGCCTGGGCTACATAAGAGACACGGTGCTGGTGCTGCGTACAGAGAGAAACAGACAGATTGAGGAACAGACACCCACGGTGGACAGAAGCAAGTGACAGTTTGGCTCAAACCCAGCTATCTGTATTTTCTAAGCTGGCATTTCCCTACGCTCAAGAAAGAGGTCAAGAGGCTCCCAAGAAAAAAGGAGCTGTGAG